ATAATCTCATTAAGTAACAAGTGACAGTATCATCATTCCAGTGATATGCTGGCACACTGGCTCTCCGGGGTAGAAACCCTGATTGGAGCATCTGCTGAATTCTATGCTATAAATAATTGCACCCCATGGCCGATTTCGACATAGCGATGCCTGGTGACATTAGGGGATATTTAACGGTGGGCTCCTAGGAGCTGGTGGGAGCTCACCCCAGCCACTGCAGGGTTCCCATTACACCGATGATGAGACCAAAGCTCCAAGACATCAATGTACTTGTCACAAGGCCACACCATTAATAGCTAATCATGAATTTGAACGTGTAGCCTCTACAAAAAGGCCTTCGGTTGTTTCTACTCCTCCACCTGTACTTACCATCCTAGGGGAGGGAAAAAGAAAGCGTCACTGCCTAACACATGGTTCAGACCATCTTCTTGACAAGTGGAGTGTTCTTGAAATTTGATTCCCCCTTCCAATATTTTGACACTGATGAGGGTTCTTCATCTGCTGGGTGGGCTGAATTGGAGGGCCCTAGATCAATGAGCTAAGAAATGGGAAGACGGTGGTAGAATTCGAGAATAAGCAGAATTGTCAGCATGTGTGACACAGCCCTAGCCACAGCGATGTCCCAGGCCCCTGTGTGCCAATCCATTCAAATAGAGCCTATTGGGGAGAGTTCTGAGACGTGGCCAGAATTACAGGAAATGGGCTCTATGTCTGGAAATCCTTTGCTACTCCAGAGGGAGAGCCCTGCTTGGATGTGAAGCCAATGATAAAGAACGTAGAGCCAAATCCTGACACCATCATTGGAGACTGGACACAGGGTCCAAGCCCTGCATGGAGTTAATGCTACCTCTTGACTTTTCAGGTATGTGAACCAGTAAGTTCACTTTGGCCTTAAACTAATTGGATTTAGTGTCCGCAATGTGTGTGTAAAAGGGTTCTCATTAATGCAGCTTCTTTGGGGAGTCAGGTTCTGGTTGAGATAAACTAGGATTTGGGTTAACATCAAAATGATCTCATGAGCACCCCTCTTAGTATTTTGTACAGAATTGCCAGTTGACTTGTCAACGTTTCAGTTCAGAACATTTCCTGGGTAGGAGCCTCTTGGGTTCAGCCAGGGACAAAAATAAATACAGCCCCTAAATGGGCTGGACGGCAGACGAATGAAGTTACAGGATCTCTAAAAACGGAGTCAACTTTAGTCCATTTCTAAGGCAGTGGAACAGAAGGTTTTTAAACCTCCAGAATCAATGATATGTCAGCAAAAGTATTTAGTCGGCTTCCAATGAATGCATCTCACTAGCAGCTCTCTTGGGATCCACCCTATGTCCCCCTACGATACTCTAAGCCAACTTGTGCCAAGAACTGGAAGGGCCTTGAGTTCACAGAGCAACACTGACGTCAATTTGAATCCTCTCCTGGTAGCTCAGAGTCCTGGTAACAGCGATAATTGATGTTTGCTAATTAGCTCACTTCATACTCTCAGCAACCCATTGAATCAGGTCTTATTATTGTCCCCACTTCACAGACAAGGCAAGAGAGCCATGGGGGGAGGGGGTAGGTAACTTCCCAAACTCAAACAGCTGGACAGTGGCAGGGTGGGCTCTGAGCCCCAGGCAGTCTGGCTCCAGAGTCTGGTCTCTCAATGTGTGTGCGAGGCAATACGTCAAGACTCGGGGCCCAGGTGGAGTTGAGGGAGGATCTGGTCCAATGTCAAGACCAGACAGATGAAATGACTTCACAAGGTCATTCAACTACTTCATGGCAACCTCTCCCAGGTTCTTGCCTGTCCAGTTCAAGGTGCTTCTTCGTGGCAAGAGGGATGACAGGGATGTGTTTAGGGCAGGTATGTGGCTACCCCAAGGCCAGGCCAACCAGGATCTTGGAAAGCCTTCCCTTCAGACCCGAAATTTAGACAGGGGTGAGGGTCTGTCCACAGAACCCCAGGTTGGGGGCCCCCAACATGCCCAGAGAAACTCAGCTCCATGGGGCTCCACCTGGGGCTCCCGAGTGGCTGTTCAGACCACAGCCACCCCCTGTACACAATCACTCCTTGGGTCCAGTCCAAGGACTTTGGTTCTCCCAAAGTCTTGTGTTCTCCAAGCGAGAATTCCGACAGGAGTGCCGATGATCTGAGGAATAGAATTACTCTTGATTTCCATGCTCCACCTTGTGAACAGAGCCTCTCTCTTGGCCCTTGACCACTGCATGTATGTCTGTGTCCAATCCTGAAGTCCTCCTTTGCAGGACAAGTGTGGACGCAGAAACCTTCAGGGACAACAGCCCAGGCCCTATTGTGGTGTCATCATGCTGTGACATGAAGTTTTGCTGAGGATGACTTTGGGGGTATTTGGGGCCCATAAGGGTCACGAAAATGAAATTTAATCTATGGCAAAATAATATATATCCAGAGGGAGGGAGGGGCGTTACAGAATTTAACTATAGAAAGCCAGAAGTGCATCATCTTGGGGGATCATTTGTAATTCTCTCACACCCAGGTTTAAAGCGGGCTAGGTAAGAAGCAGCACTGCTCACACCTAATGTTTCTCTGACCACTTAGGTGTGGTTCTTTTCAGGTTGACTTGCCACAGGCCAGTGTCAGTCCAAAGAGAGGCTCTTCTGCACAACAAGGAGACCAGGACTTGGAGGTGAGTGTGAGTAACTGCTTTCCACCACAAATGCAGTGATTACACACAGCTTTTTAACTTCTTCAGGGTAGGGTTCTCACTGGAGACCCTTTTCTTCCATTGTCCATTCAGGGAGAAAAATGGAGACGGAGGTGGGGGATGTTTGGAGGACTGATAGAGCTTTCAGGAAGCCATCAACAGAGATGTCAATGCCTCAAACGTGGTCCAGTTCATATTGACCATGACTTCCAAAGGAGAGCACTAGACCTATTTCCCTCTGAAATGTTGCATACTTGTCAGAAAATAAGAACAGACCAATTTTCCTAGAGGCAGAACCATCAAATGAAGATTCATTCTGGAAAGATCAAAATCCTTTCCCAGACTCTTGTTCGTCCAGCCTTTCCTGCCGGGTCCCTGCAGAGGGGGAAGCAGTCTCATGGAAGGCAGACACCAAGGGGCCTTGGGCATCCCTGGTAAAGACCTGGGATGGCAGATATAGCCACCAGGGTCCATGTATTGTCTCTTAGTAAGCCTCCCAAGTCCAGTGCCCAGGGAAGATCTCCAGCCCGTGGTGCAGTATGGAGAATACCGCTAACACTTGGGACTCGTTCATGGTGTCCAACAGTATGCCAAAGGCCGAAGTCTTCTAGGGAAGAAGCCTGGGGGTGCACATCTGAGTCCCAACCCAATCCTTTAGAGGACAAAGGAAGGGAGGCTAGGCTCAGAAGGGCATGGGAGCCCAATATGACAAAAGAGCACCAACAGGAGAAAGATCCAGAGGAAATAGGATTCCTAGACTCCCATAAGAACCCAAGACGGCATGGACAGCTGTGTCGTCCACATCCAGCTTGAGATTTTGTCAGTTCACACTTGAGAACCTGGATGTCTTCTGAAATGCAGCCACACGGGTCTACGGGTATACATGTGGCCCTCTGGGGCCATGCGGCTGGGCTGGAGTTGGATGTCTTGAACAAATGGTTCCCATCAGAAAGGAAGTATTTCTAGAACACAGACTAAGTATAGACCCAGGTCTACTAGGGTCAGACGTAGCAGCTTCCCAGTACGAAGTGACAGGATATTTGTCAGAACAGCTACTAAGGAAAAAATAAAGTTCTAGGAAACCGGACAGTCAACTAATGGTCTGTGGGGACAGGCTCAGACTCTCGAGCCTCGTAAGTACAAACCCTCCAGAGACAGACCTGAAGGGACTGCTGTTTCCTTAGAAGATGGCAAGTCGTTTTATTTAAAAACACTTTAAAATTTTGGAAACAACTCATTTTTTGTGTTATTTTTGAGAGAGAGAGAGAGACAGAGCATGAGTGGGGGAGGGTCAGGGAGAGAGGAATCTGAAGCAGGCTCCAGGCTTCAGGCTCCGAGCTATCAGCACAGAGCCTGACGCAGGGCTCGAACTCATGAACCGCGAGTTCATGACCTGAGCCGAAGTCGGACACTTAACCGACTGAGCCACCCAGGGGCCCTGGCTCAGGCACCTCTTGATCTCGGGGTTGTGAGTTCGAGCCCCATGTTGGGTACAGGGATTACTTAAAAAATAAAATCTTTGAGGGGTGCCTGGGTGGCTCAGTCAGTTAAGCGTCCGACTTCAGCTCAGGTCATGATCTCAGGGTCGTGAGTTCAAGCCCCATACTGGGCTCCGTGCTGAATGTGAAGCGTACTTAAAAAATAAACATAAAGTCTTTGAAAAAAAAAAAAAGATCATTTGTTAGACTTGAATAACTCAGAGAGCCATTCACATGTTTCACTGATGGGCTTTTATTAAAATTGCATATAGGTCTCACACATTTTTTTTTAAAGAACTTCCTTTATGCCTAGTATCAAAATACTACAATTGTTTTGTTATATATTAAATATCTTCCTAAAGTCTCAATGATTTCTGTTCCATCCCTCCCCTAGAATCCTTCTTTATCGTGTGTTCGGCATCTTGAACGTTTCATCTCAGGAAGCGCGTAGAGGTTTGAAAACGAGAAGCCAATGACAAGAGTTGACTCGATGTTGCAGACTCTTCTCTACAGGGCTGTCGAGCTGGCCCACACCCAAATCACTCTCGAGTGTAGGGACTCACGCCCTGGAACTGTTGAAACCAATCAGTTCTTGCCCTGAAATAGTAAGGCTGACCCAACAGCACCCTCTGGTGGCTTGCACGGATAAAAGCACCGAACGGTTCAGAAAAGTATTTGGACATGCTATCTTGGAAATCCAGATGCGGACACCAAAACAAAAAAACAAAACTAAACTAAACTTATTTTCCGGGGTCCCAAGACAACTGGCTTCCCGGAAGCCCATTCTCCACACACTCGAGCTTCTTACAAGCTGCTCAGTCATGAGAATGCCAGCTTCACACCAAGCTGGAACACGCCATCAAAAGCTGGACTCGGGTAACGTTTTCTTCCGACTCAAGGAAAGAGTGTGGTACTTCACCTTTTGCAAGGTGCCCAAAGAAGTGTGCTCCCCTGGGACAGTCCTCTGGGACGTGCCCAGGGCACTGGCCCTCGTGGACCTGATGGCTTTGCGAGGGAGGCGGAGAGAGCTGGGAGCCGACCATACATCCCTTTCCAAGTGGGTGATGGGGGCTCTGGCCAGGCTCTCCTGAATCCGGGGGGAAGGAGAGGAGCCCCAAGAGTGCTCATCCACAGCCGGGCTCAGCCTGCCGCTCACCAGGGACACTGGGGACGCCTGGGGGGCCACCTCTGGCCTCTCAGATTTGTTCTCCTTCTTGGAAAACACGGACCTCAGAAGGGTGAGGGTCCCCTGTGGGACGTCCCTGCCGTCCACATTAGCCCTCATTCTGATGCGGGTATTCTGGCGGCTCTCTGCACTGTTTCTAGATAACTCCGTGCTGCTCAGCGCCTCTGTGGGGGAGGGTGCTGTGCTGAGGCTTCCTGCCTGGCCACTTCCCTTGCAGTTCGCTGTCTTCTGGCCCTCCGGCCGGGCTCGTTTCTCATTCGGCACTGAGGGCATCACCGTGAGGGGCAGGTCAAACCGTCTGGGGAGCCTGATATCCTGACTCGCATTTTCCTTGGCTTTCCTGGCTGTATTCAGGCCATCTGAGGTTCCGGGGGCTGCACAGGGACTGGGGTGGCCTGAGGGGCCGGGCGCTCGGGCCAGCACTGTCTCACTGGCTGGCCTACCGTCTTCACCCTCAGCGGACTTCCCGTCCTCGCAGGCAGCGCCCGTCAACAGCGGCACGATGGACTGGCTGGTGGATCGGGGCCTCCGCCTGGACTCCAAGTACTCCACCAACTCGACAGATGTACCGGGCGGTTTCTCCCTGGGTCTGAAAGACCAGCGGAGGGGCAAGGTCTTGAAGGCTCCCTGCTTGGCTCTGGAAGGCGTAGGCTCCTTCATGCTGATGCTTCGGCCTCGTACGCCCCGTACCAGACGCCTGGACTCCAGCTCTCCTGTAAGAGACACCAATAGCATCAGTGCCCAAATCCCCCTCCCAGCTGCAAGGCGTGACCATGCCCGCCATCGAACAGACCATGGCTGAGCACCCCTGATGTATCGGGCACTGTGCTGGCCGTTGGGGACACAGCAGTGAGCAGGACACTGAGGTCCCAGCCTTCGGAAGCATCAATGTTTGCAAACGCTCAGCAAAAGTCCTTCCTTTTCCAGGTTAAATTAGGTACGTGTACCTTTCAAATGCGAGATTCTCAGATACCCTATCCTGGGCCAAAAGGAAAAATTAATAAATTGTGCGTTTAATTTTATCAGAGCTCCCACTTACATTTTCCTTCTGCGTTCTGCAACACCTGTGTATGGTTGGAAAGACACATTTCATGTGTAAGAGTTAAACGAGAAACGGAGTCTAGAAAAACAGTGTAATCCAACCTGCAAAAATACATACTTGTGTGCGTGACACATGCATGTGAAAACATACAAACAAGTTTGTAGAAATAAACACTAAGATGACAAGGTGTCGAGGGGGCCATGGGATGCTGTGTGACTGATTTTCTTCTTAATTCTTTCCTAAACCTTAACATTTCTAAAGGGAATACACACATAACCAAGGATGTGTGTTTTTTCTTAAGAAACATCAGTTACTAAAACACTTCTATTTACAATAGTATCAGGGGCGCCTGTGTGGCTCAGTCCGTTAAACGTCAGACTTTGGCTCAGGTCATGATCTCCAGATCCATGGGTTGGAGACCCACATCAGGCCCCTGCACTGATAATGCAGAGCCTGCTTGGAATTCCCTCTCTCTCCTTCCCTCCCCCACTCATGCTGTCTCTATCTCTCCAAAATAAATAAACTTCAAAAAAAATTTTAAAAAAGAGAATAAAATACTTAGGAATTAACCAAGGAGGTAAGATTTATATAACAAAAACTACAAAACATTAAGAAGAAATTAAAGATGACATAAATGAAAAGACATCCCATGTTCATGGATTGGAAGGCTTAAATATTGTTAAAATGGCAACGTTACCCAGAGTGATCGATCTCCAGCTTCAATGCAGATCCCTATCAAAATCCCAACGGGGCTTTTTGCAGAGATGGAAAAATCCATCCTGAAATTCATATGGAATCTCAAGAGACCTCCACAGGCAGTCACAAAAAGACAAATACTGCATGATCCCACCACACAACGTACCCAGAGTGGTCGTAACCAGAGAGACAGAAAGTACAGAGACGGTTGTCAGGGGCTTGGGGACGAGGAGGGTGCGGTGTTATTGCGAAATGGGCAGAGGCTTTCAGATTTACAAGATGAAAAGAGTTATAGTGATGGACGGTGGCGATGGCTACGATACAATGGGAATGTATGGAATACCACTGAAATGTGCACTTGAAAAAGCTTCAAGTGATAAACTTTGTTGTAAGTATTTTCATGCAATAATAAAAGTGAAAATAAAAAGAAAATAAAAAAGAAAATAAAATAAAAAAAGAAAATAAAAATAAAAAGTGAAAATAAAAGAAAAGCAACTTGCAGCGTCTGCCTTCATTTATAAGATGCCTGTAATCACAGAGGGAAAGAACCTTCACCTGAAACACACAACCCACACGGTGGAGAGACAGTCTCGTGCGTTTAGAGAAAGACCTGAGGTGAACCCTACAAGCCTTCTGCCCCCAGATGACCGCCTGTATCATGGAGTGGGAGAGCAAGCCCTATACGAGTGAGGACCGTACCACAAATACAGCCCCGGTAAGCAGCACAGCCACCTGGGACGAGCCATGTGCAAAGGGACTTGGGATTGTCAGGGGACAGGCAACAGCTCAGTGTACTCTGGTGGAGAAAGCACAGCGCTGGACACATCAGCCAGGCCCCCGGGGAAGAAATGACCAGGAGGCAGAGTCCCAATGCCCGGCAAGGACTGGAGGGGTTGGACAGCATCTCCGAGGTTCCTGGGGAATTTTACCTTTCACGGATTATTTCCGGTAGTTTTTAATCGCCTACATTTTCCCCCCCAACTCGGTATTGTTTTCTTTAAAGCATTTCTGTAGCTAGCAATAGACACGGTTTTACCCCAAATATTTTGTAATTTCACTGTCCATGGCCCACCATTAAATCCCCATACCTCGGGGGAATAAAAGGTGCTGGGGTCTGAGACACATAAGCAGTTTTTTTGTTTTTCCCTCTTTGCAACCCTGGGAAGGGCAGAAAGCACTGCTTTTCTTAGGAGGATAAAGCTGTGACTTTCGGCTTTTCGAAATGAGGTAACACAGCCGGCGGCCTGGCAGGTGGCGAGGTGGCTTGGCAGTGCGTCCCCTCTTCCCGGATGAAAGGTCTGGGGCCCGGGCCCACGTCACCCCTGCAGCTCCCTTTCGCGGGGGCCGCAGATGTCCATGCAAGCCCTTCCTTCCGCCTCTTCCTCGAGATGGCAGCAAGGAGGCACCTTGGCCGCCAGTGTGAGAGCAGACGGGACAAGTGCCCACACTGATGCAGTGTCACCATTCACAAACGTCTCCCTTCCAAGGGGAGGGGAAAGTGCTCCCCCTGCTCCTCCCTGGGGGGACCTCCTGGAGGCGGGGAGCCAGAGGCAGAGGTAGCGTTCAGAGATGCTTGAGGGAGGGTACTTCCCTGCCCTGGATGGAATCTGTGGCCTTGCTCATGCCCAGTTGGCTGGAGAACCAGGAAGGAAGGGTCTAGAGCCTTGGGCCACATGGAGGACATGAATGGTCAAGTCCTTCCTGAAGGTTATGAGTCCCAGAGCCTGCAGGACAGGCTTCCCAGGTCCTGCGAGGCCTCCTCACACAGATGGCTCCCATGCGGCTGGTGGGCATGGCCCCCACCCAAGGCCCCACCCATGAGTGACTGCAAAGACAGCAGATGCTACCCTGAGAAATGCCCCATCTCTTCCTATGTGGCTTTTTATCCTAGCTAATGAAACCAGGGATCGATCTGACCTCACGATGTGTGCTATGAGCAAGGGGCGGGCCCCCCCAGCCCTTAGGACAAGACTCCTGGTCCAGTGCTCTCAGCTCTCAGGCTGTACAAGGGTTTCCTCTGACAGCCACCCACTCATGCATTTGACAGACATGTAATGAGAGCCCACTGTGTGCCTAGCATGTGTTTTCACCGCTGGGGACAGAGCTGTGGAAAAAAAACACAAAGTGCTTGTCCCTGTGGGGTTCGTCAGAAAGCAACAACATGTGATGTCATGGGATACAGTGCTAAGAGCTATGACGAAGAACGAGGCAGGGTAAGGGGGGTGGGATACAGTGTGGTGACTGCGGAGTGAGGAGAGTGAAAGGGAGAAGGAAGCCATGTGGAGATGGGGGAAAACAGCCGCCAGGTAGAGGAAACAGCAAGTGCAAAGGCCCTGAGGCACAAGTGAGCTTGGTGGGTCAGGGAAGCAGCAGAGAGACCACCGTGGCTGTAACCAAGGGAGAAAAGGTTCCCCAAGAGGCTCTTCATCTGCTGACTCCTTCTCTGTATTTGGAGGCATCTCTTTCTCTGGTTGAAGTCTGACCCCCTGACTTTCCTCTGGACCCTAGAGGGTAAGGACAAGCTCTTCAGCTGGGCTGAGCTTTGTCCACCTCTGAGAGTAAGCCAGTAGGACGAGGCTGGTGAGGGGAAAGGCTGCCTCGGGGGCCAAGGCCACCGCCCCTTCTATCGCTCCAAGAATCACCTCCGCTCAGGAGGGTGTGGAGGGGAGCCCCAATGGGCAAACGCAGAAGAAGACGACAGCACACATATTCTCTGATCCAATAGAAGAAATGGACAAAAGATAAGCTCTCAGGGAGATTCAAATACAGAGCAGGAGAGGACTGAAAAATGTCTTCCGGGTCTTACAATTCAGTAAATGCATTGGAGGCACGGAGGGTCATATTTGAGACTCAAATTAGTGGCCGAAAAGATAAAGGGAAAGGCAGTATCTCGCACCTGAGAGCCAAGTGACAGAGAGAAGTCACAGGGAAAAGCGAGAAGACACAGAGAACGGACCCAGGGGAGCCACCAGGCAAATGACAGAAATCTGAACAGTCAGAGAGACGATAAACCAAACAACACCACCCTGAAGAAAAGCCTGCATCACATAATCAACAATAGCCAAAGTATGGAAAGAGCCAAAACGTCCATCCACGGATGAGTGGGTAAAGAAAATGTGGTCTATATATACAATGGAGCATTACTTGGCGATCATAAAGAATGAAATCTTGCCATTTGCCAACAACGTGGATGGAACTGGAGTGTATTATGCTGAGCCAAGTAAGGCATAGGAAGATAAATATAGTATGATTTCACTCATATATGGAATTAAAAAAATTTTTTTAACGTTTATTTTAGAGAGAGACAGAGTGTGAGCAGGGGAAGGGACAGAGAGAGGGAGACACAGAATCCGAAGCAGGCTCCAGGCTCTGGCTGTCAGCACAGAGCCCGACGCGGGGCTCGAACCCACGAACTGTGAGATCATGACCTGAGCCGAGGTCGGATGCTTAACCGACTGAGCCATCCAGGCGCTCCTCGTACATGGAATTTAAGAAACAAAACAGATGAACATAGGGGATGGAAGGAAAAATAAGATAAAAATAGAGAGGGAGGCAAACCATAAGAGACTCTTAAATACAGAGAACAAAACTGAGGATTGCTGGAGGGGAGGCGGGTAGGGGGCTGGGTAGTAGAGAGGGCACTTGTTGGGATGAGCACAGGGTGTCATATGTGAGTGATGAATCACTAAATTCTACTCCTGAAATCATTATTACACTATATGTTAACTAACTTGGATTTAAACAAAATTTTTAAATTAAAAATAAATAGGAAGGA